GACCCGTCCTGGAGCCACGGGAATACCCGAGTTCGATCTGTCCAGGATTATCCCTTCGGAGAAGCCTAGCCAGCAGCTACAGTATTTCCCTCGTGGGGAGGTGCCGGGCCGCAAGCAGCCGCAGGGCCCTGGGCCGGGGTTTTCCCACATGCAGGGGATGATAGGAGAGCAGACCCCGAGGATGGGACTAACGTTGCCTGGCATGGGGGGCCCTGGGCCAGTGGGAACTCCGGATATCCCTCTTGGGACGGCTCCGTCCATGCCAGCTCATAACCCGATGAGACCGCCTGCCTTCCTGCAGCAAGGCATGATGGGGCCGCACCACCGCATGATGTCACCAGCACAAACGGCGATGCCTGGCCAGCCCGCGCTAATGAGTAATCCCGTGGCCGCCGTGGGCATGATCCCAGGCAAGGACCGAGCCCCTGCGGGGCTGTACAGCCACCCGGGCCCTGTGGGGTCACCTGGCATGATGATGTCAATGCAGGGCATGATGGGACCCCAACAAAACATCATGATTCCCCCCCAGATGAGGCCCCGAGGTATGGCTGCTGATGTTGGCATGGGAGGATTTAGCCAAGGCCCTGGAAACCCAGGGAACATGATGTTCTAAGCTGCTACCATAAGACTGGATGTTCTGATCCTTGTCAAGATGAGATTCCAAGTCCTGAGGGCTTTTTTGGGAGCTTCAGGAGTACAGTTTGGCCATGCAATAGGTGAAAAGAGACCAGAGGATGCTTTGGGAAATCTCGAATGTATGGAATTACCTGAAAAAAAAAAAAATTATTCATTTTAACAGGTTGTTTTTTTTTAAGATTTATTTTTTAAAAATTATTTTTGTGGACTTGGGTATCCCGTGACGGCACCTGCTTTGAGAATCTGTAGCTGTATTTTGAGAATTGCCATTTGTCACAAGTTGCACCATTCTCTGTATGTTTACGTCCTTCGGACTGGCTTCTCCCAGGACTCTCGGTTATTTTTGGGGTTTTTTGTGTACTGTACTATATTGTAAAAGGGATTTTAGCAGAGACTTTAGTCTTTGGGGTGAGAGGAGAATGGGATTCTAGGCTGTTTACTTTAGGTGGAGAATCCATCTTCAGAACTTTGGACTATTTTCCTTCAACTCCAATGTATAGAAAAACCAAACTACGACCTCAGAGCAGAGTATTAATGAAAAGCACAAAAAGGAACTTAAGTTCAGTGAGGGGAATCTTTTAAAAGAAATAAATAATAAGTTAAGGACATATTTTTCAAATTATGGCGTGCTGTCCAGCACCTTCTGTCTCTCCCTCCCACTCTTTATTAAATAGGCTTCTCTCTCTCTCCGTCCCCCTTCTGTCCCCTCCTATGGCAGCTGCAATACATTGTGTTATTTTGGGGAGTAAATCTAGGAGAGCCTCTCCTCACGTGGGGTCTCTTCCCACTTTTAGGAAGGGGCTGGACTTGGACACTGTTACATCCTACAGTAGTCTCTCTCACTGTTTCCTATTCTCCTTTTCTTAGAAACCCCAAGTGATTTTATTAATGTGGGAGTGGAACAGACACTAAAAGTTATCCAGGATTTTTTTTTTGTGGTTATTTTTTTTTTTCCTCCCCAGCGTAAAACGTTCTGTGTAACCTCCATTAAATTTGGTACAAAACCACTCGCCAGGGCTGTGGTGTCAGAAAAATAAAATATATTGTTTCTTACAAAAATGAACTGTCTTCTTTATCCAGTCCCATTGTTTCTATGTACATCAGACGGCTGGCCAGATGACTGTTTGCCCTTCCTTACGATCACAGCCAGCGCAGAGGCCGGGTGGGGTAAGCTTTGGCAGCTCCTAAAAGTCCAGTCTGTAGGCAGACGCGTGCTCCTTGCAAGGCACTTCTGTTGCTTAATCCTGAAGCGAGTTTGTTTTTCCTCAGAGCGAGGTCTTATTTCAGAATGCCCCAGGGATGATAGTTACAGTCATTCTTCCTCAATTTGTTGACCGTCAAGGAATAGATGAAACTTGTTGTCTCTGTCACTTCCTCCTGGTGAGTGTTTGCAGCACGACGAGGTGCGTGGTTTTGAGCTTTCCCTAAGCAGCAGCGTCTGCCTGCCGAGCACTGGGGTCCAGCGCTGTGCGGGGCGCTGGGTTTGTGTGTCCCCCTGTGGGCTTTGGATTGGGTCTCTGACTGCGGTTGCTCAGAGGCTGAGATAGCGGGGAACGGATGACTTCTTTCACTTTTGTTATTTAAGTTCATCAACGAGCAGATTTTTATCAAGACAACACTGCTGGGTAAATTGTTGCTTTGCCGCAGTTCTCATTGACAGCTTCCTAATCTCCTGTCTTTTCAGCCTTGCCTTTTGAGAGAATTTCAGCAAGAAGGTTTTATGGTTTTGTCTGAGAGGAGTGGAAGGCTGGATGCCAAAACACGGACCAGGAGTTGAGCCCTGCTCCTGGAGGAGATCAGGAGCCTCCAGGTGTGGATGTGTGGGGCAGGGAGTGGGCTCTGTGGCTGGCTGCTCTCTGGTCCCCCAGCACCGTATATGGAGCGTGTGATCTCTGTTCTTCCTTCCACTTGCTGTTACTTGAAATGATTTCAAAGACTGGTTTCCTCAAAGGGCTGGCTATTAGTGTGAAACTTCACGTGGAGAGTGAGTATCTTTAGTATGCTGGTGCGTGAGAGTTTTTCAGAGTTAACTGACCATTTACAGGTGGAAAAAGAAATGCTGTCGGTGACCGGCTTAGAGTTTCATCACTAGTGTTAGAAAATGAGTGAAGCCATGCACCGTTGGAGGCATGCAAGCCTCAGAGCCTTCTGTTGCCTGCTTCTGAATTCACCTTTGTGCTGTCATGCAAATTTACAATGATTTTGGGTGAGAATTACTCTTTTGACAAAGTGTAGGATGTATGTTGTGGTGCTTCCCTCTAACAAGACAAGCAGCGTGCCTGAAGCACGGGCTTGTCAAGATTTTAGAAAGAGCTGACAATGACACAGTTTATTTCTGGAGAGCGGAGTTACCTCTTCTTTGAATGGCTGCGCAGCTCCCTTTTGAGGACCTTGCACAGGAATTGTCACAGTGCAAGCTTTTTAAGTGTTGCCACTTCTGCCACCACTCCTGACTGGTTTTGCCATATTGAACAAAGCAGACTTCTTGATCGACATAGAAATAACCTGGAGGGTTTGGGCGGTTTTTTAACAGTCTTTCTCAGTGCCTCCTGTGTCTGTTGAGGTATTTTGAATAGCAAAGGATTTGAGGTGACTGTGACTTACTCTAGAAGAATTAGCATAGGGGATTCACTGTTTCAAAGCCACTTGATAGTGAAAGGACACATGATAAAGATGCTGGATAATTAAAGTTCCTTCTGTGTCTGTCTAACTTAAGATGCTGGCATTTGGTATCTTAATGAGATTTTTTCCTACAGAAAATGCAGAAGACGTGGATTCTCCAGAGTCCAGGTAGGTGCACTTAACCTCAGTGGCGTTGCCTGGTTTGTACCAGCTGATGGACAAGAGATGCTAATTCCTTAGCTGGCTCACGTCGGAAGAATTTCTTTGTTTTGCGCTGATTCTACTTCTCCCCTTTTTGCTTTGCAAATGAAAAAGCTTTCAAGCTGCCAGCCTTGCAAATTCACCTTGGGATCTGTAAGTCAGACTCTGTTCTCTCCTGCTTATTTATAATCAATAGTAACTGTGACTCAGCTCTGGTAGTCATGGTGCAGTTGAAGACGGAAAGTGGGGTTGCCATTTTTAGTTTTCTTCTCCTCCCGCTCCTTTTTTTTTTTCCTTAAACTTTCAAATCATCCTCCTCCACCTTTGTTTGAAAGAATGAAATAAGACTTTATTCATACATGCTTGGCTGCTCTTCCTCTCTAGTAACATGGGAGGAAACAGTCTGCTGTTCAAATTATCTCATCCCAGATGGCTGCGCAGCCGGAGTGCGGAGAGACTTAAAAGGTAAACCCAGCAGATGGTGAACTTCTGAAACGCAAAGTAATACGCCTGCTAAATCAAAAGTTTAAAACATTTGAAATCTGTTTATTTTGAAGTAGTAGACTGTTGCAAACAGGTCATCTGCGAAGTACACTGGCAATTTTAAGCACTGTCCAAATAAACTTGAGCCTTGTACCCGTACCATGGGCTAGCTCATCTACCAAAGAACAAGACAAGTGAGTAGCCAGCCTGATGAGTTTAGTCCTGGCCTCCTGGTGGTATCTAACGGTAACGTTTCAGAAGCCAGACAAGTTTGTGGAGATCTAATCTGCATCAGTCTTGGCTGGGATTTGAATGCTGGTGGTGCTTCTGGTACAATACACGTATCCTGACTTGGAGGAGATGTGGGTGCCCGACTCTTCCTGAAGGTAGGTGTGAATCCTAAACACGCTTCTTAGACTGTTGGAATGCTGTATTTGTTGTGCCAGAGTGTTGGGGCTATTAGAAGTATGGTATACCCGGCTATTAGAAGTATGGTATACCCAGGGCTAAATTTTGCAGTGCTTGCTATGCTGCCCATCTACTCTGCTGGTTTCCATTCTGGTGGCAGAAAAGGCTACTTTTCATTGGTGGTGCTCTTCTGCACTCACGATGGTGAATGCTTTCCTTGTACAGCCTTGGCAGGCTGTTGGCTGAAACCTGTTCCCTATTTTGATATTTCTCAGAGGAATGATTCATGTTTGACAGAGTCCTGTATTTAGTAGAGTGCACTTCACTCTATTGATTGGTAGCAATTCTTAACCTAAAAATGCTAAGTTGTCTTGCATATGTGCTGTGTCATCTTTCTGGCGAGGTGACCTCTAATGGAAAGATTTTCCAGTTTTTAGCCAGTCCACGTAGTTTCCAGTCATTTCTGTTAATGATGTGTGTTGTGGTAGACATGTAGCACCTAGCTTTGTCATGCTCTTTCTGCCTCAGGTTAAAGCGCATTATTGGGAGTGTTCTTCAGGCCTCAAAAAGACCCAGACCCAAACTGCCAGCTTTGTTATGTAGCATTTATTGACAGATCTACCAAACTCGCAATCCTTTTGATCTCCTTTTGACTTTCAACTAGCAAACCTTTCGTGCCGAGAGATGTATGTCCTCATGACTCATGACGCACTCAGGTTTTCAGCTTATGATTGTTTTTGTTAGAGCGTGGGGCAGGAAAGAAAAGTGATGCTGTTTTGTCTGGGATACTGGAAACTTTAAAAGGGGATGTTTTTAGCAGAGCCTGTTGTGATAAGTCAAGGGGTAATGGTTTTAAACTAAAAGAGGGTAGATTCAGACTGGCTATGAGGAAGAGGTGGTGAAGCACTGGAACAGGTTGCCCAGAGAGGCAGACTAACCCGGGTTAGCAGCTCCAGCTCAGGTTTGAGGGAACCTGAGGTTGAACATGTTAGCTGCTCGTGTCAGCAGCTCATATTAACAGCCCAGGGTAAGAAGGTTTTTTCTGTCCCCTGGGATTTCTGTCTTTCGCAGTTCTTGCAAAGAGTTGGCCTATTCATGTAAATGTTCCTTTTGAAATTACCGATTTCTAGAAATTTTTATTCCATATTTTCAGAAATGCCTCAGCTTTTCCATGCTGTGTTTTGCAGTTCAGCACTTCCCACTTACCTGCATCCTTTAGTCTTAAAATTCTTCCACTGTCCCACCAATCCTCTTCTGAAATCATTATTTACGCTAGTCATGGTCACAAATAACTCCTCCTTCATACTGTGGGCCACAGTTACCATGGAGTTGCTCAGTGGGATGAGGCCAATGCGTGGCCCAACCATTTCCATGCCGAGGCGAAGGGTAGGGCTGGAGCGGGGCACAGAGGGCACTGCAGAAATCCTGAAAGAGACAGTGATGAAATAACCTGTTCCCAGTGGAGGCTTCTTCCTAGCCGCTGCCGAGAAGCTGGCCTGTTTTTCTGAGGTCTTCTGCTGTTACTGAAATGTATGTTACCCTGCCTAGAGTGATAGGATTATTTTAACGGTGTGAATGCAGTGCCCTTTAACAATCTTAGGTGCACCAGGACAGCTTGTGCTGCTGAGTTCTGTGGGTCTTGACCGCGTTGCAATTTTTAATGTGGTTTCTGCTCAGTTTTGCTGGGTAGATGCTCCTAGCTCTTGTTTAGGAGAAGGTATGTGAATTCCCCCTTTGTCTACTGGTATGGCAAAGCCTCTGATGCCGCTCCCCTGTACCCCTTTCCCAAGAAGTCCATGCCTCACAAATAAACTTGTAATCATATGCCTAATGTTTCCATCACCGTTCTCCAAATACTTTATACCGTGCATAAGAGAGAGCTTGATTAGAGCAGAACACACTGTTCTTAAGCAAAGTTAGGCCATTGATTTTTATATAATGGCATTATCTTTTTAGGCTGTATAAAAACTTGGTGGAAAATAACAATGTTTTGTTTGCTTTTTTGACAGCTTCTAATAGCAGTTCAGTGAGACCTCCAGCAATGTATTTAGAATTCAAATTATTCTGTTCACTGTGCATGGTGTCAACATGTAATTGTGGTGGGAGCAGGCTAATGAAAGAGTAGAGGTAAATCCAGCCCACGCTTCTCAGGGAGAAGGTACTGTAGTGCCTCCAGTCAAATATCTGTCAACGACTTACATTAACATCACTGCAGTCTGGTTTCACGAGGTGAGAGGGGGTAATGCAGAACCAAAACTGCAGGGCTATTATAATAAGTGGTCCCCCTATTTTAGGCTTTTCATATTCCAAAGAAAGTAGGTCAGGATCTGAGTTTTATT